CCCCAAAAGTGGGATTGTGGGTCATAGGGAAGCTCTATGTGAGTATGTTTCTTTCTGGACAGTGTCACCCCTTCTCTTGCTCTCTCCTAGTTTCCCCACCCCATCCCCAAACACAAGTTGTATAGTTCATTTTCTGTGATGTTTCTAGGGAGTACTACTACTACATTTGTTCACTCTTTGTCCCTTCAGTTCTGTTCCCCCATTACCCTCCCAAATACAGATAAACAAACAAAGAGGACAAAAAGAAAATAAAACACAAAGTAACAATGAAGGGAAAAAAAACAAAAACCTTGTTTCCATTTCCTGGAGTCCATTTCAATAATTATTTTACATAATCAGAAGCACATAGACATTGTGCCTTTGTGTTCCTCTCCTAAGGATAACCTCCTTTGGACTCCCTGTATATGAATGCTTAGAGTCCTGTATGATTTATCACATCTCAGGGTATTTTAGATGTAGCTTCTGCATATGAGAGAAACCATGTGCCATTTGTCTCTCTGAACTTGGCTTACCTCACTTCACATGATTTCTTCTAGGTCCATCCATTTCTGTCTTCTCCTGAGAAGTCTTTCCTTTGCTTCTTTGCCCATTTAGTGATTGGTTTATTAGCTTTGGGAGAGGTTACTGTCTTGAGCGCCTCAAATATTTTAGGTAATGGGCCTTTGTCAGATATATTACTGGTAAAGGGACTGGGGAGGTGGCTCAGTGATAGAGCGCTTGCCTTGCATGCATGAGGCCCTGGGTGCAATTCCCCAGCATCACATAAGCAAAAAGAAAAAAAGCCAGAAGTGGCGCTGTGGCTCAAGTGGTAGAGCGCTAGCCTTGAGCTAAAAGAGCTGAGGGACAGCGCCCAGGCCCAGAGTTCAGGCCCCATGACTGGACCCCCCCCCCAAAAAAAAAGATATATTACTGGTAAAAATCTCCTCCCAATCTGTTGACTGTCTTTCTAGTTTATTATCTATGTCCTTTGACTACAGCACCTTTTGGTGGAGGAAGTAGAATCTTAAAGTCAGAACTGACTACTTGTAAGTTCTTACTGAACATTTCCTGGCCCTCTTCCTTAGTTTCAGTTAATAGTATTATTAGCCATTCCCTTTCAAGATTTAAAATACATTGTTATGACAAATAGCACTTTCCAAACAAAACTCTCTATTTAAGGAGAAGATAATCAGCTAAAAGAAACAAAGCCAATTAGTTACATGCTGTTAGTTTTGTTCCCTATGCAACACATTTTCTTGATGTCCACAGAAGCAGCTTATTAATTAGAATTAAATGAGACAAATGGCATCCTCAATTCTTCTCTTTGTTGCCTGTGATCTTTTCTGTGCTTCTATTTTAAATGATTCTCATTTGGCCCATCAAACCTGACTTACATTCTTTGTCTTCACGAATTTCTCCTAAGCTTGTTCTTCTATGAATATTAGGAGTATTCTTTGATGGTTTTGCCCCATGAATGTTTAACTCTACTTGTATAAGAGTTGATTTTGCTTATGCAGAGCATTTTGTTATGAGTCATCAAAGACTATTTGCTGATTTTTGTTGATTTTTCTCCCTTAACTTTGACCACTATAAGTACACACAGGTAGTCAGAGAATTTAGCAACTTAAAACATGATAGACCATTAAACTATTATAGCCATTACATGCAATGTTTCTGTGCCTTGGTTGTACTTGAAGGAACAATCTATTGCTTCTTAAAATAAGAAAACCAGTGGCAGCTTGTTGCCCCTCTGGAACTGTGTAGAGTGTATAATCTGTATTCCTGGAGCTACTGTCTGCCCTGTGAATGCCCCTGAGAAGGCAGTCTTTACAAATAGCCAGTGAGCATGGCAGACACATTCTAGAATATCATCCATGCCTATATCCTGACTCACACATATGTTTAGCCTCTCTGTTTTTCATTTAGAAAGTAGACTTTCTGGGTCCAACAGTAATTTGACTTCTGCAGTACCTGTTAACAAAAGATCATCCTTATCACTTGTTAAAACCAACTTGAGCAGGAAGACTCAATTACTACTTGTAAAGTATTTCAGCATTATGTCATAGTCATATCAACATCATTCAACATCAATTAACTGCTACGTTACTTAGAATTTAGATCCCTCACAATCTTTTGCTTGTCAGATGGCATGATCAATAACTGCATAATATTCATCAGCATTTTATACCATTACTTCTGAGTCTTCAGAATATAAAATGGAAACATTTTAAGTGAGATGAAGTAGCTATTAGAAACACCTAAAAGAGACTGAGACATTAAACAGTTCCTATCTCCTAGTCTTTCAGCCTTAACAATCTTGAAGTCTAAATTCTTCTTTAAATAAATCTCTCCGGAAATTTGCTATGAATTTTGGTTTACATCCTCCTTTATACATTGTGGAGCTGAGTTTTAAGTAAGGCAGCCAACAGTATCTGGGTTAGAAAATAATTTTACCATTCCTCCTTACTTCTCTTTCTTGCCAAACCTTCTAATTCAGGGCTATATTTCTTGTCTCTTTAAAATTTCCTCAGATTTCTCTTAAATGTCACTAATTTTAATAGCTCAGCAGTGGCAGTGCAGCTTTCTGGCTGTATTCTGATAGCAGCATCAAAGCAAAGAGCTAAAGTTCTACTCACTTTGATTGATGAGCTCATTTTGTTACAGAGGACAAATTGGATTTTTTTTATACTGGTAATAAAAATTAATGTGTGATGTTGCTTTTCGGATGTTATTGGATCTCTGCCTTAATACAGATTTCAGCAATAAAAGCACTAACAGATAACTTGACCAGAAAGTTACCTCCTTCCCCTTTGAACTACCCTCAAAAATAAAAGGTTCTTTTCCAATTTTGTAATCTCTGTACGTTCATGGGTTGTTTGCATGAGGTTTTGGGGTGGAGAAAACAGTGGCTTCAGGATAAAAGTTTAATAGTCTGTGTTTTAATTTTCCCCTCTAATAGTGATCTTTATTTCTTGTCTTTGCAGCACCTCCTAGGTTTACACGAACTCCCGTTGATCAAACAGGGGTCTCTGGCGGAGTTGCTTCTTTCATTTGCCAAGCTACAGGAGACCCACGACCTAAAATTGTGTGGAACAAAAAAGGAAAGAAAGTCAGCAACCAGAGATTTGAGGTATTAGGTCCATTGTTCTGTTTCTCTGCGGGAAGCATGTATCTGTTCTGTCTTCTCATTTGAATTTTACTTAGTTGCTTTACTAGGCTAGAAGGTGGCCTAAACCCCCCCAGATATGGCCGTCTTTATGTTGCTTGTGGTTAAAACAGTAACTCCAAATGGCTTTTAAACACAGAGAACTTAGGGGTTGATATGGATGACTTTTCTCTGTAATTAGACCAGAGATCTCAAAAACGGTTCTGGAGTTTGGGGCTGTGGCTCAGTAGGAGATTGTTACTTGCACAAGTCCCGGATTCAATTCCCAGCACTGGTGATGGGGGTTAAGGGATCAGAAATACATCTGTCAGCTTCATTCTTGGACTAATTTCCCTTACAAATGCAAGACGGAACCCCACATCCTCTAGAGGTCTCATGAAAATTGATCTCTTCCAGAAGCTTCCCATCCCACTGGCTTTGATTGAGTGACCTGGTTATTTCTGAAGCAATCTGCATGAAGAGTGGATGATGTGGGCCAACTGGTTTAAGCTTATCTACCTCCATAGCTATCTACCTATGTAGCTGAGAATAGAGTCACTTCATTCAAATCCTGTTGCTGAGGGTGAAGTCATAGTATTTTCCCAGAAGGAAACTAAAATTTCTGAAAAAGGAATAGATGCTGACAAGCAAATGCCTACTATGCCTCATACCTGTGACTAGAAGCAATGTGAACGTAAATGAGAAATTTCCTCATGTGTCTTAGTGTAAAGTACTACCTGTAAGAAACATACACATACAGGTTAATATTGCAAGTAAACCTGTTTTTCTTTTCTTGAGAAAGCTCAGTACATTGAAATCATATGAACTACAGTTCAGATATCATTTTATGAGTATTTGAAGAGGGAGATAATATAAAAAATTGCTCATTCTGATGAGAATACGTGATGAGTTATACAAACTACAGTGGAGCTAGTCATAATCACACCTATAAGTTAAGACATGAAGAGAATAGTTTGCTTTTCTAAGGAACACAAAGATCTCTAACCTATGACAAAGTTATAAAAATTTACTTCACTTTTATGGCCAATTCTCAATTTGGGAAATGGAAAGTGATTTCCAGTTAAAAGACATAGAACAACTATAAAATCCAAAATGAGTTTCACTCACTTTTGTCTATATTATGTTTATAAATATGTGGATCAAATTCATAAATGATCTAAATACAACCATGACACTTGAAATCATAGACGAGAAATTTACAGGTGATGAATGTTACATTATTTTCTGGAAAATTAGATTCATACTATCATTTAAATATAAACATGGTTTTAAAAATTTAAACTTTAGGGATGGAAAGGTGGCTCAGTGGTAGAGTGCTTGCCTTGCATGCATGAGGCTCTGAGTTCGACTCCTCAGCACCACATAAGCAAAAAGAAAAAAGCTGGAACTGGCGCTGTGGTTCAAGTGATAGAGCGCTCACCTTGAGCTGAAGAGCTGAGGGACATCGCCCAGGCCCAGAGTTCAGGCCCCATGACCAGACCCCTCCCCCCAAAGAAAATTTAAACTTTAAAACCGGAAATATATTTCCTGTACTCTGTGCTGAAACACATAAGTATGCACATATGAGTGCATGTGTGTGTAGTGTGTATACATGTGTATGTATACCATTTGGATGCAAATTGTTACTTTTTTATTTAAATGATTTTAATTTTTCGTCAGAAAGGCATACAATTTGATGTGCTTCATATTGACAGTGGCATCTTAACAAAATGTTGTTAAAAAGTAAATGATCATGGTAAACATCTCAAAGCATGAGCTCTGTCTTTTTATACCATAATTCCTAATGAGAACCATGTAAACAAACCCAGTGGAAATTACTTTTACACAAGCACTTACATCAAATAAAAACAAGTCGCTGTTGAAAATCCTTAAGAATCTGTAATAGTGGATTTATTTATCCATTATCAATATACATTCAATCCATATATCTACAAGGCCTATAAGAGCAATAGATAAGGCTGATTTTTCCCACGTGGTAAGCCTGAAATATTACTATTCATTGAAAAACACAACACCAGCTTGTGATATGTGCTATATTAACTATAAGCTAAATGCAGAGAAGGTATCATTACAGGAAACGCTTTTAAAAAGTAAGCATACAGTGACATTTAACAATAAATTAAGAAATTTATATGCGTATTAATGTTTATATATCTCACTAAATTAAACCACAATACGCTTATACAGTTTCAAAAAATATGTGATATTCAAAAAATATTCTTATCACTGTAAAATTTTTGCTTCCTAAGCTACATAGTTAATCCATGTTAAATCTTGAGTTTAATAGAGTTGGAGACAAACCAGGTTGCTTTCAGGCATCTGGGTTCACTTATATTGAAAATGAAATTTGCAAAGAAATAAAAGTGTATGTATTTTTAGATATTCATTGTAGATACTTCATTGTATGTTAATGCCAATACAGATAGTTTCTCTCTCACCTACTCACTCACCCACATACACACAGACACAGACACACATGCACACACACACACACACACACACACAATTCTTGGCTAAACATTATATAAATACATTTACAAGGCACTCCAAGTTTATTCTCAATTTTGATACATACTATTTTTCATAAGGAAAATTAAAGACAATAAGAAATCCCAGCATTTCAGTGAGCTGCTAACAATACACAACAAGCTGATAGAAAAACTGGTAGATGACTATAGGTGTGTATGTGTGATGTATACACACACACACACACACACACACACACACATATATATATATATATATATATATTTACCATGATAACCACTTTTTTGGTTAATGCAGTCCTGGAATTAGTTGGCAGCAGCTAGGATTACTAGTGTTGTTGAACTCTTTCTCAGTAGAGTTCATAATGGGAGTGAATTTGGGCCCAGTGTTTAGGACATTAATTTTCTGCCTGGTGAAGCAAACCTCCATTTTACAGCAAGAATGTCCTAAAAATGCAGAAAATGCTAAGCTAGAACAAATACCAGGATGATTTATGGCTAAATTAATGCACGCCATCAGGCTTTTGGTTTGTGAAAGCTGTCTCGTTGGCTGCCTAAGTACTGGATTTATGCAGTTCCTCTTCATGCTCTGCTCATCTACTGTGCTGGATGAGACACTTTGAACTAGCAGAACTGTTTGTTGGTGTAGTCCTTAATACTTCACCTTATAATCCAGTTATTAAATACATCCACATGAGCATAAGCACAGTCAGAGAAAGAATAGTTTGAACAGCTTAGTTCTCATATCTGCAAGGTTTCTTACAAAATGAATAGGCTTCAATCATTTCATATCTTCATGAGGGAATCACAGATGGTTTCCAGTAAAGATTTGAAATCTACAGTTTTCCATTTGTAGTTCTACTTCATTCTTGTTTAGAGGATTCGTCATTAAATCTGACCCAGTAATTGATTTCACTAGTATATCAAAATTCAGTCTTGAAATGATGGTGAGTTTACTCAGAGCCTCGTGGCTGGCACACCTCTGTAATAAAAGGTTTAGTTGAGAGGTGGGCAACTGTAACAACACCTGTGACAGCTATTGTTTCCTCTAATAGGTAATAGAGTTTGATGATGGATCTGGATCAGTTCTCAGAATTCAGCCTTTGCGGACTCCTCGGGATGAGGCCATTTATGAATGCGTGGCCTCGAACAATGTGGGAGAGATAAGTGTGTCCACCAGACTCACAGTTTTACGTGGTAAGTGCTCAAGCACAAGGTTGTTTCTTGTGCCATTGTTGCAGTTGTATAGCTCAGGTGTTTTTCTACAGGACCATTAAAAAACTAGCTTCTGATGATGCTTCAATGGGAATGAATTTGCATTTTATATGTAAATTTATAAGGATCGAATGTGAATCAAATGTTGAAAGTCTTGTTTTGGGGCTTAAAGGAAAGCTAATCATGGAGGGGGGGAAATGGGGAGAAGGCAAAAAGAAAGAAGCAATGATTGCACATGCCAAATTCTGTTTAGATTTTGGTTAGAGCGTTTGAAGAGGAAACATGGTCTGCTTTTATTTGTTAACATTACTTGTACATTTTTTCCACACTTTCTTCAGCAGCTGTGTTTCAAAAACTTCAGAAGCTGAAACTGGTGTTTATAAAATTAAGCGATACCTTGATATAAAAATGAGTTCTTCACAGGCCATTGGCCAAAACCAAAAAGAAGGAAGACATCCTTCTTGTTTGTTTCAAAGATAGTCTTTTTCTTTATTTTCTTTCATCTTTTTTTGACCAATATCTATTAATTCAAATACAATATGATGACAAATCCCTTGTAGATCTCTTTGTTGATACAATTGGACCAAAGCATGGGATGCCATGCAGTGTTCACTTGTCAGACTTCCTTCCACAAGACAGTCATGGAGTTTGAAGGCTGATAGTCAGCTGTTGTAGATTGCTCATTCCGTCTTTGTGTAGAGAAAAGAACATTGCCTGATGGCACACCTAGCAGTTAACATTTCCCTACTAATGCATTAATATTTCTGTGACTCTATCTCTTTCATTCTCTCATTTGTCTTTGCATGATTTACTAGATTTCAGAATTTAGCAGATACTTTTCTTCAGATGATGCTTATGTGATTTTAGAAAATAGCTGAACATAAAATTAAATGCACAGTTAGGTTAGTAAACAAGAAAGAGAAATTTCCAGGTGCTAAAAACAAGGAGAGAATCATCTGAGAGAAGACAACCAAAATGTTATCACCCAGGATGATAAGGGTTATAGGTTAGGGCTGCAGTTATAGCTCCCAGCATGATGAAACATATGAAGAATAAAATGACAGTAGAGGGAGCAGTTTTCTACATATATCAATATATGGATATATGTGAGTATACATATGATATATGTGAACATGATACATATGATATATGTGTATATTTGTATGAGATCTATCATATATAATATGTATTATATATGGTGCATATATGTATGATAGGTATCATATATGTTTATATCTAATACTATTAAAATTATGGGGCTGGGAAGGTGGCTCAGTGGTAGAGCGCTTGCTTGCATGCATGAGGCCCTGGGTTTGATTCCTCAGCACCACATAAGCAAAAAGAAAAAAAAAAGCCAGAAGTGGCACTGTGGCTCAAGTGGTAGACCACTAGCCTTGAGCTGAAGAGCTGAGGGACAGCGCCCAGGCCCAGAGTTCAGGCCCCATGACTGGACCCCCCCCAAAAAGAATTGTAGGGTTTTTTTTTTGACGTATCCACGTCTGAAGCAAATCCGACTCATTTGTTAATCTTTCAAAATTTTAATACTTTCTGATTCACCTAGTTTAGAATTAGGTCGGAAGTAAATTATAAAGGTACAATAAAATGAAATTTGTCATAAACTTTTTGGTTTATCTCATTCTCTATAGCCTTTGAATTTCTTCAAAGGAAATAATAGCAAGCATTTGGTTGACTTAATCTTTATGCATTTTGATGAAGACATTAACGAAAACTTGGCAGAAAAATATCATTTTGCTTAGAAATTCACAAGGATTTATGTTTTCCTGTCTCCCAGCTGGTTGGAGTTTCCTCATTTTGTCTGCTTTTATATAGCTAGTCTCCACATAACACCAACGCATCTGAAAATTTTAATATGATCTTGACTTTCTTTGTGAATATCTGTCATATATAAGTGCATTTGAGTGAAATTTATGATTCAAGTAAAGTAGTTAACCCTTCCTATATTTTTTAATGACTCTTAGCGGTTCTTGAACTGTATTATGTGTAAAATTCAAAGGTAATTTTGGATAATGAAAAGTAATCTAAACATAACCTTAAAATAGAGTAATTTTAGTTTATTCTCTTTGGATAAAAGAAACAAGCATAAATTACCTTTGTTTCTGTGAGTCACCTCTATGTTTAAAAATGTCAAAATGTTGATAATTCTATAAATAATAGACTTTAAAAACTATTTTAGTGACACTGACATTTATAGACATCAGATATCATAACCATTAAATAATTCCATGAGAAAGAAGAAAATGTCATAGCTGATGAGCTTCATGGGCATTTTAAGTTTACTTTTCTCTTACAAATCATGTTGGCAGACACTCAAGTACTCTGTTCCACAATAGATGGAGACCACTTTACACTTTCCATCCGGTAGCCTTCAACAGATGCCCATTTTTGTCTCCATGAGTCATTTATTTTCTCCCTACATTGCTTACAAATGCCAAAAATGTGCCAACTGTCATGAAGGTTTTTGTGTAAGTAGGCTGGATGGAGATCACTCATTTATTTCACACAGGCTACTAGACAACCTAATTAATTGGAGATTCAAACATCTGACCTGTATGGCTAATGCAGAAGACATTGAAATAAGATCCTGACCACCCATGTGCATTGAAAGGAACATTTCAAGGAAAACTTTCAGTAGCTTGTTTCAAATCACCCTAGCTCTTGAAACCTGTTTTTATAAGGAAGGATAACCATAAGCTCAAGGCTTGAATGTGCTCTAAAATGAGACAAAGTATTTGGGGAATTAGCCATCTACTCTAGAAAATGTGGTTCATGAATGATGAAGTGGTAAAAGAGAAGGTTGAAGGTTATTCAGTAGGTCATTTTTAGTTTTCTACTTGTCTTGACTATGAGAACACAGGCACATACTATAACTCCTTAGTTGTTTAGCACTTCTAGAAGCTGAGCATATTTGTCACATGCACGTATTTTCTCATAGCAGAACTAGAAGTAAAGTCGGCAGGTCTCAGTGCGCCTATCTAACAGTAGAATGGTGCTATGAACAGATTTATGTATTAGGTTACGGGAAGGGCATGTAAAGAATCAGAGAAAATGTTGTAAGAGGAATTTTTCATCCAAATAAAATTGATTTTATCTGAATTCTTAATTTACTGGCCACAATTTCTTTCCAGCCAAACATTTGAGTATGAAAACATATAATACAAATTTACACAATGATAATTGCAGCAAAAAATGTTCTCTCTGATATGTTTTATCAGCTCCTGGTCAGAGAAAATGAGAAATCACCATTAGCAAAGTTTTCTTCCTATTGAAAGTATTTTCCCTTGGTACTAGAGGAAAAGCTTCAAAAATCACATTGGTTTTCTTTTGGTTGTTTGTTTTTTCTTGTTTATATAATTTCTCTTGAGTAAGAGAAAATCCTAAAAAAGGATTTGTCCTCCAATCCTCTGACTAAATGTCATATTTTTTTAACTTAGTTATTTTCATGAGTCTTTCTTTTAGGGTAATAATCAGAAAACACATACTTCACTATCATTCAGTCCAGCATGTCATACTTCCTTTTTTAAGCTTACCGAATTATTTTCAGTTTTTATTTCAATTCTTTGACTTCCTTGTTTTTTGATTAATTGTTTTTTAATTTCCTTTTTTTAAACCTCATTTGCACTGAGAGGAGGCCTCAGTTGGTGATTATAATAGCTAGATCACCTCTCTCTAAACTTTTTATGATTCAGTGACACACTTAATTCAGGAAGTCAGGGCTTGCAAGATGGAGGAAGAAGAAGAAAAAAACTCTCGAAGGTGACTGTTACTGAGATAGTAAAACACATAGGGAGCAGTTGAATGAGACAGGAAGCACTGCATTGGGAAGTAGGCAGAAATGTTTGCATAATATGTCTGTTTCAAAAAATGTAAGCCATTAGAGCAGTTGTTAAAAAAAATAAAAGAAACCACACAACTTTTACAATCTTTCTGGGAGATGGCAGTCAACTATCTCTGCCATTGTGCAGTACCCTGTGATCAGAATTAGCATGTTCATTACAGTCTCATTTTATTAATGCCTCTTTTTGAAGATGAACACAGTTGTCCCCGCTGTGAAAATGGTACTTTGCCGTTTATGTTATAAAGTGGTCTCGGCTGGGGATCCAGGCTTGGAACATTAAAGAACAAAGCACAGCTGCTTGACTGTCACACAAAAGGATTTTTATGAAAGACTGAAACAAAGGGAAGGGTGGCCAACACAGAGCAAACTTGCTGACAATTATGGTACAGAGTGAAGATTAGTTGAAAATGCTTATAAAGTAGTTGGGTACTTGGAATAAAATGATACCAAAATGATAATGCATGCCGGCATAATCCTGTGTTTCCATGTTGGAAAGAGATGTCAGTGGGCAGTCACTTTGTGTAAACAGTTTTGGGTTTAGGACTTAAATATGACTGGGTTTAGGACTTAAATATGACTCCTCTGTACCTATCAATGCTATAAAGTCAGGAGCAATGTGGACAGTAGTTCATGGAAGATCCTAGCAAGGGCCTTATTCAAATCATGGAAGATCCTAGCAAGGGCCTTATTCAAACTCATAACACTTGGGAGAAAACATATGTGTGAGTAGAATCTCTGCTTGTTTCTTTGCAATTTATCTTCTCAGGACACCATGTGGGTGCGATATGTGCCTCCATGGAGTCATATCACTTGTTTTAAAGCATTGAGGACAAGCCTTAAAATTGCTCACAGAGAATGTATGCGCTTGTAAATAATTGTCCTTGAGTAAAAGTACCATTTTGATCTCATACTCAATGCTATTTTTAGTGATTTTGAAGTGAATATAAAGCCATGTCAGTGTTTACAGCTGATTGCCTTAATGGAACCATGGAAATGCTGAGCCAGAAAAGGATTTGATGTTTCCCTAGCCATAACCTTCATATTTTAAGAAATCTAGTTATAAAGAACTAGAAATGGTTTATTCTTATTCATACAGCTAGAATTTCTTTAGTTTTTTTCACATCAA